TCAGTCAGTGTTCATGACATCAGTGTTGTCTTTTTAAGGATTAAAAATGGGAAGAAAAGGAAGGCTTCTGTACACAGTGGGAGAAAAATAATGTTTACAAACAAGACTAGTGTATAGTTTTTCCTCTGCTTAGAAGACTGTTAACAGTGAATATTCATAAATTTGTAGTCAAAGTTTTTCCTAAATGATTGCCTAATGATGTGTTTTGGGTTGGGGAGTATCAGTATGCTGTTTAGGTATGGGGAAAGAACACTTCATCCCCTTTGCTTAGGGACAACCACTATTGAATATAAACTGCTGACTTCATACCCTCACTTCTTAAAGTGATTTGTTTATTTTTAAATTACTTAGTAGGTGACAACTTGTTGTTTTAACAATTGCTATGGAAACTACATGCTTTCAATTTTTACTTGCTGTAATGCCATTGTCAGGAATGTGAAAACAGTAATGAATTCCTTTGAATACAGCAAGGTTTGTTTGGGTTTTTTTTTATAATCTGTCCTGGATTGTTTTTCTCCAAGGCATGACAAACTTCAGCTATAAATAAGTCTCACAGCCCACTCTGGGTTGCTCTTGGTAATGGGATCGCAAGCTGTAAGCAATATGGCAATGTGAAGAGAACGTCTAGCTACTACCTGTGATGCTGTGATGTCAGGAGAAAGGTGGCAATTGTAGTTCCAGTGCTTGGGACTTTGAATTTGAGCTAAGGTAAGGAAGAGGATGCCCACACTTGGCAAGAAGCCATGCATTAAGGATTTCATTTGCGTGATCTAGGACAGAGAAGGAGCTGTTTTCCCGCACAGAAGTGTAGCAAGACATTGTTGTGCACATGGAGCCTTCTTGACAACGCTCACTGGGGTCCTTCCAGTCCCCAACAAATCTACAGGGTACCTGTAGGGTACACAAGTCTGCCGTTGCAACAAGTGTGCAGGGTACACCACAACAGCAACAGGTTTAAAATAGCTCTCATTTGGCACAGTTCTTGGAGGCATCCAGCCTTTCTACAGTTCTTGTAAGCCTTTATCATCAGCTTACAAAGCAAGCAGTGTGCCTGAAGTTTGCCAGTTTTATGATCTTTCTGCCATACTGATTGTATTTGTGGAGGGAATTCAGTAGGATGCATCATCTCAACTTCTTAGTGGGAGGTTTGGCAGCAGGGTCAGCAGCAGAAGGATGAATGCCTCTGTGAACATATTATTTTAAATCCTGGTATGTCAGGATTTTGTGTGTGCTTTGTCATCAGCAGATTTTCGTAGCAATGACTTCTATGTATAATATTTGCTATTTCCTCTTCATAATTTTGAATTTAACTGAAGAGCCCCTTTTGGTTAGGGGTCAGACAGAAAGGGAGTTGCTGTGCTGTTACTGATGCATTGTTGATTATTTATTATAGCTGCTTTTACATGTCTTTTTCCTTAAGTAATCCATCCCAGTGGCTTCTGACTTTCTCCATAGGAGAACTTTCCTATCCCCTTGATCATTCTTGCTGCCTGACTATGAATTTTCTTTCATAATCATGTATTATCCATCAATACATTCTGCCTCAGGATGTCTGCTCAGCTGGTAGACATCTGATAAATTACATGCTAAATCTAGGTACTTGCAGAAAGATGTTCCTATCTGTCTGTTTCTGAGTCTCTTGGTAGGTTATTAAAAGAAAGTCTTTTCTACCTGAATCCTCCTAGCTGATACAAGAAGTGTCTGTTTCTACTTTTCTTTTTAAAATTAGGTGAGGCATATC